CTCGGACCAGTACGACCGCAAGCTGAACAGCAGAGGCTTATCAAGGCACCTGTGCATCGACCCTCTGAAGACAGCGGACTACATAAAGTGCTCATACTGCACCAACCACTACAGAAAGTATGCCTCCCAGAACCACGAAAGACAATCATGCATTTCGATTCTGTCAACTGGGGAGGGGCTCACTCGCATGTTACAGTAGCGACAATATCAGAGAGTGAGATCGAACTTTCGTGATTTGTTTAGTTTGAACGCTTCATGCTTCTGGAAATAAGAAACACCCAACCGAATAAAACGTTGATAAAAACGTGAAACAAATATCAATCATAATATTGAAAAGCTCAAGGCCGAGAGACAACAAACGAGCCGTACGAGAATGAGAATAGCAGCATGAAGTGCAGGATTTTATAACCAATACAAATTCAATCCAGTATGAATTGCAGGATTTTATAACCAATACAAATTCAATCCAGTATGAATTTTAAGGTGTTGTGCACGGTTCACTCTCTGTCTTAATTGACAATTAATGGAGAAGTTTAGCTTCCATATTCTGGATATATAAAATAGTTAGTAGTACAACTTCTATGTCATATTGGAATAAAGCGAACTGATTTCAGAGTAGAGCCAGGTTCTGAGATCAGTTAACTCTCTCAAGGTACATCTTCGAGATAATCATCCCCAAACTTCTTGATAAAGAAGATTCTTTCATCTAGTTGTGCCGGTGCAATGGCTTCAGGAGATCTAATGACGATCAGATGATTCCCAATTATCTGAAGGATCAAAGTTATCAATTGAAGACGGAAGGTATGCGAAGACAACTAATAATTGTCTTCAAAATTATATTCAACTATTTATATATTCATTCCATCTTACACAGCGTCGTCATCACAGACTGTTCTTTCGTCGCTCGGGACTTGTTTAAACCCTAAAACCGGAAGAGAAGCATACTGCCAGACAAAAGAGCGATTCGTCGTCACATGTATCATTTAAATGTTGATTGCGCGATATGTGCGAGCTTTAAGCCAGTATTGCTATAAAACTACGACGATTCAAGCAGACCCCATGCTCGCATCGATTCGGCAGCGTTTCTGTCAATCTGAGAGGCACATTCACCCAGTGGTTTGCAGACATCATCATATAATTTTGGAACTCTAAAATCCTTAGTACCCTGTACCAACGACCCAAGAAGAAGAAATAGCTCTCGCACCTTTGACACCATGACGCCAAATTGATACATCTCTGCTGCTTCTGTAGTGAACGCCGTCAATTTACTGCAGTGCATTTTAGCATGCTCGACATTCCTTCACTCTACTCTCTTGTTTGCTCCTCCGTCACGAACAAATTCAAAATGAACAAGAACAGACTGATCATTGCAGTGAAAAATAGAAAGGCAGTCAGAAATATCACACAAATTGAATTGCCTCATTGGGTCAATTGCTTCCCCTTCTGTTACCAGGTTGACATCTTCCAGATGAGAAAATATACTTTAGCAACCCCATAGGGTTTGGAGAAAACAGGCTCACTTCATTATACAACGTATTGGTTTTCTGCTGAATACTTGCAATCGAAAAATTCCGGTTGAAGTCCCCAATTACCACATCTGGGTTGCTATTGTGTATTTCTCTGCCCAGTTGCTCAAAGAACTCGCCCCTTTCTTTGTCATGCTTCCCTTTGTGTGGGTTACAGCACCCCGAAACACTTTTTCCATCAGCAGTGTGGAATCTGACGGCAAGATTGGGCACTGGCTCCAATGCAGATTTCATGGTTTTTATCTCCTCGACACCCAACCATGTCGTTCTCCTCTGAAACAACGAAATGCTGCACCCCTCTTCTTGTACTAAAGCAGCTTTCATGTTTTGTAGCTCTTCTACTTCCGCGGCATAATTGGTCTTTCTCAGCTATTCGAGCCCCTCCTCCGCCACAGCTTGCAGGTACGTTCGGACTGCCTTGGAGGGTGATCTCTCGATGGCTTGGTAGTAGTTTCGTGCCATTCTTAGGACTTGTTGGGCTGTCGCGGGTCCCAGACTCTCGTGTACGGGGATGGCATCGTTATTCTGTTGATCAGTTTTCCCACGGCTTGCATCACTGCCTCCACATGTCCTGTTGTTGTGACTATCTCCGTAACGTTCTTTAATGGATGCCTGAGCTCCAATACGGACATCTTTAGGACTCCGGCCTCCTTCTTGAATGACACCTCCTGTGGATCTAGGGTGTCCAGAATCCAGAAAGCTGTCACTTCGTTGATCCAGGTTAATTGACGTTGTGGTTTCGGTGACCCTCCCGATAAGGTGGGGTAGGGGTAAAGATGAGGCAGGCGAGGGGTAAGAAGGGGTGGGAGGCAGGCGAGGGGTAAGAAGGGGTGGAAGGGAGGCGAGGGGTAAGAAGGGGTGGAAGGGAGGCGAGGGGTAAGAAGGGGTGGGAGGGAGGCGAGGGGTAAGAAGGGGTGGGAGGGAGGCGAGGGGTAAGAAGGCGTGGGAGGGAGGCGAGGGGTAAGAAGGGGTGGGAGGGAGGCGAGGGGGTAAGAAGGGGTGGGAGGGAGGCGAGGGGTAAGAAGGGGTGGAAGGGAGGCGAGGGGTAAGAAGGGGGTGGGAGGGAGGCGAGGGGTAAGAAGGGGTGGGAGGGAGGCGAGGGGTAAGAAGGGGTGGGAGGGAGGCGAGTGGGGGGTGGTGGCCGTAGGGGCGTGCTTTTGGCATATCTTGACAAATGTTGGTGGTTGTGCCATGTTGCGCATCCTTTTTGGATTGTTGTCGTGACGAATCGGCTACAACCCTAGTCCAGCCCGGCACCGTAAAGTCGTGACCATTTTCGAGAGTCTCGAATCACCTAAAAAGAAACGAGTGTAGCAGCAGCACCAGAAACTCACGTCCAAATTATTGTCGGCCTCAAGATCCCTTGCACGAGGATGTTCGAACTGGACGTTAGATATTGCGAGTTGGGCCAACATTGCAATTGATGCAACTTTGTCAAACCTTTCGACAACGGCTAATACCTCACATGAGGAACTTAGACGCAGGATTCCGGGATAGACCTATGCTTGGACGTTCCTCAAAAACAGAGAACTGATTTGCAGAACTCTTCTAGCCCGTCTTGTAGGAGGTTCCTCCTTACGTACCATCTTGCGCACTTTTGACACTCGATGTCCACTCCGTACGAGGTATTCAGTGGCTGGGTAGGCTGGCTCGCTGCGAAATTAGTCTCTATATCGAACAAATGAATGAAATGATTATGAATTGAGCCCATTCACTCACTAGATTGTTTTTTGAATACAGCCAGTTACCACAACGGCAGCGCAAGTTATTTGAAGAATCGTTGAGCAGAACAGCAGACGGGACAGATTGTTTGATATCCTAGGAAAGAAGTTTACACTGATCAGAAGGAACTCACTGCCAAATGTAGTTGATGTCTGGAACTTGCGATTCTCGTCGTTCGGTAATGCTGTCAGGTTGGTCGTGGTAGTGTCCTTTGTTATCGTAGTGGGCCATAAGCCGTTCTGGTGTTAGACGGACGCATAACGCTGGGTCGTTATTAAGAGCGAATCGATAAACTTTCTCTCCCCTGTCGACTTCTTTGGTGATCAGTTGGTATCGGCTGTACTGCTGGACCAGCAGTGAGATGTAAAGGGGTGGAATGAATTTGGGCACGTTGAGTGTAGCAAGGGGGTCTCCAAGTCAGGTAAGTTCTTAATCGTGTCAGCTCCTGAAGCCACCAAACATAAGACGCCTGATCCCTGACGACCTGGACGAAACTGCCATTAAGCTGTTCGTAGGTTTCGGATATTGGGATTTCTTCTTGGGCGTGTCCCTGGGTTTGGAGGACCTCTATGACGCTTGTAGCAACTTGTTTGAGGTAGACTCTCACTGATTTTATCGGGGATCTGTCTACCGCTGTATTGTACCCCTTGGACATTCGGATCATTTGCTGCGCAGTGAGGCCTTGCGGGATCTCCCAGACTGGTTCGTACGGTGTTGACGGTCTGATGTTGGTGTTCAGTTGGCGAGCTGCGTTCATGACGGTCATCATGTGCTGTGTTGTCGCGATAACCTCTAGCACGTTTTTCACGGGGTGGCGAAGCTCTAGGATCGATCTCTCTGGAGCACCTTTTACTCTTAACTTTTGTCTCCACACTTTGTAACTGACATCTTCCGGATCCGGGTGTGTCGATAATCCAGATCCCGAGTCACATGATTTAGTGACGGCAGATCGTCGTTTTTCCCACAGAGCGCTTGCTTGTATGTCTTCTTCTGCGGTTTCGGTGTAGGTGCTAGCAGCTTTCGTCAGCGTTTCCACTTGCTTTTGCGGCACTCGGATTTCTTTGCTGTGTATCAGCACGGGTACAGACCAGAATGGGGAACTGTTGGTGCCAGGTTGGGCCGCTGTCAAGTCGTTGAGCAATTGCATCCAAGTGCTGTGTTGCTGCCGCTCCTGCTAGTTTTTGCACTATCTGAGCAGAACAGTGTCCCTTCACCCTTGAGAAGAGTGCCTTGTAGGCAACAGGATGTTGAATTGGTCGACTGTTTCTGCATAAAACAACCCTTCTATCCACTCTCCCTCAGCTTTTTTTCAAAGTAGGATGGTATTCTGAGTATGGCAGTTTGTCCATGGCGGGAGGGCGTCTTGAAGTCTGAAAGTAGAAGGATATGTTACGTTGCGATTCAAACGAGGATGCGAACATACCAGTTGGAGCTCGGGAATGGCGGGAAAAGGAAGACGAACAGGAGGAGGAGGACGAACGAGAAGAGGAAGGGGAACGGCGGGAAGGGGAAGAAAGAGCCGTTCCAGCATTCGCGGCCTCCCTCTCTATGGTAATGACGAAACATTAAACCACTCTGAGAATAGATGGATGGTTTGAGAATTCAAACAAGGATATGAACATACTGCTGGTTGTCGACGTCCTTCTCGTCGTAGTTATCGCTGTTCTTGTTTCTTCCTCCATCTCTGAAAGTCATACCTTTGAACACATGAGGGGGGCAAGAAAGGGACGTCCCTGAAGAGGAGATGCAGGAATGGAAGAGGCGGGAATGGAAGAGGCGGGAATGGAAGAGGCGGGAATGGAAGAGGCAAGAATGGAAGAGGCGGGAATGGAAGAGGCAGGAATGGAAGAGGCGGGAATGGAAGAGGCGGGAATGGAAGAGGCGGGAATGGAAGAGGCGGGAATGGAAGAGGCGGGAATGGAAGAGGCGGGAATGGAAGAGGCAAGAATGGAAGAGGCGGGAATGGAAGAGGCAGGAATGGAAGAGGCGGGAATGGAAGAGGCGGGAATGGAAGAGGCGGGAATGGAAGAGGCGGGAATGGAAGAGGCGGGAATGGAAGAGGCGGGAATGGAAGAGGCGGGAATGGAAGAGGCGGGAATGGAAGAGGCGGGAATGGAAGAGGCGGGAATGGAAGAGGCGGGAATGGAAGAGGCGGGAATGGAAGAGGCGGGAATGGAAGAGGCGGGAATGGAAGAGGCGGGAATGGAAGAGGCGGGAATGGAAGAGGCGGGAATGGAAGAGGCACGCCAGTGATTGTTTCAATTTTGCCGTTCAGGAAGTGGGTGTTGATGAAAGGTTCTCATCCATCAGGGTGTCTACCGGGATTGTGTATCGTTTCTTGATGCAGCTCGTGTTTATGTAAATAAGAATATATAAGAACTTCTACCTTTCCAACTTCATTAAAGAAAACCCAACTCTTCTAATGAGTTCTAATCGTGCGATGTTGGCGATTGCTGGATGGGTTGAGTTGAGTATGGCGTGAGCTCTCCAGAGGCAGTCGTATTCGTCTGTAAGTCTGATGAATCCAAGTCCTCCTTCTGATGGTTTATATGACCTCGTTTGTCGCTGTTTCCAATCGACTGTTCTGGATTGTCGAAATCTCTTTGTAGTAGCTTCTGTCGTAATTGCGTCTTCTAACCATCTGAGCAACTTCTGTTTACTTCAACAGTTGATTGAGATTTTTCATGTTTTTCTTCATCAATTGAGAGCGGCGACTGCGAAGTGCCAAAAGTACTTATACAAGTCAATCCTGAACTTGAATTTATACGTCGACAGCTCAGTCGTGATGTCCGACCTTGAAAACTTGCTCTACGATTAAAACTTCCATTCGAACTGTTGAACGGAAACTCCGGAACTACATTTAACATCTGGTGGAGTAACCATATTTCAATAGTCTTTCTCTCGACACTCGAATTGAGCTTTGTGGCGTCTAAACACACCCTGGTATTGGTCAAATGAAGAAGGATATCGTCGAGGTAAGTCAGGACGCCGTCGTGTTTGAGGTCCCCAAATATATCGTTAATCCAACGTTGGAAAGTTGCGGGTGCGTTAACCAACCCAAATGGCATTTACTAAGAATTGATAATGTCCGCTGTGGGTCCGGAATGCTGTGAGATGCTTCTGTTCTGGGCACAACTGGATATGCCAGAATCCTCCGCGCAAATCCATCAAGGCGAAATGTTTGGATCGTGTTAATCGTTGTCGGTTGTTGCAGGGCTGGCAGTATGTATATTTTGACTGCTTGGAACTTTTGTGCGGGGTGGAGGCAGGATTGGAAGATTTTGGGGAGTTTTTGGTAGGCATGTCCCAGTACTACTCAGATACTTTGTCCGGCGGATAGTGCCCATGGGGAGTGTAACGGTTGTTACAGCGACCTCGCCATCGTCTTGCCTTATGAATAAGGTGAGTATATGTGCTCACCGTTTGAAACGCCAACCAAAACAAGAAAACAGACGAACTTAATGCGGTTGAGCTCAGAAGTACGGCTTAAGAATCACCCCACTGAAGCGGTACGACAAAACACTCTGAGCAAAGATTTTTTCTGGACCAGGGCTAGCCGAGAAATGATCAAGGAATTCATGAGGTTCAAATTACGGAATTGGTGATAGATGTGTTCAACGAAATGCAAAAACACAACGAAACGAATTCTATGCAGTGGCTTTGCACGCTAATCTCCACCGATGGATAGCTCTCTACAGAAAAAGAGATTCTTGTGTGATTCTGGGCTTTTCTTGGAACTCACTCTCATTTCTGTCTTGTACCAAAACTCCACCGCCCATTCATCTAAAATTTTGTTCCAACGCCTTCCTTCCGCACGACGCTTCCACTCCCTCAAAGCATTTTGAATTCTCACTTTCATGGATTCGGAGAACGCTTCAACAACTTCCTCTACTTTTCGATGATCTATGACCTGATGCCTGGCCACCAGGCTGATCCCATTGTGCTTCGCTTCCTCTTTCGAAAAAACAACTTCCTCATATTCTATTAATGAAAACAAACTCTCGCTTATCTGCTCTCCATCATTTAATGCAGTCTGTTGCAACTCATCCATTTCAAACCATTCATTTGTCTTTGGGATAAAGAAGGATCTTGACGGGTGAGACTGATATTCTGGATGGTCCAAATCATTTAAGAAACCGCATCCTGAACTGATTCGCCCTCCACCCTCTTCTTCGTTCTTGTACATTTCCGTTATCGATACGTCTAGTGGTGCTTGCTCTTCTACAACGCTCAATCTTTTCCACTTTCTATTATGATAGCAATTTTGAGCATAAAGACATTCCCATGAATGGAATGCATCGCGCAATATTTTATCAGCATGCCTTCGCCTCACTGTTCTCCAACATTTTCTCAGTCTCAAATATTTCCGACCCCAGTAACGCAAGGCATGCCGCAAGTTGAGCACCGGAGAAGCCAACGACACCATCGTCTCAGTCTTGATCCAAAGGAAACTTTGACGAGATTGCCAAGCTCGTTGATGCCATCTAGGAAGCGAAAAAGCAACAAGTCAGGCAAGTCCCAAAAGAGCAACAAGTCAGGCAAGTCCCAAAAGAGCAACAAGTCAGGCAAGTCCCATCAGTAGATTTTCAGCCGCTTACACTCGCAATGCAACCTTAAGAGCCGATCGTTTCTGTTGACCGCGCGAGATGATCGCATTGCGCCAAACGTTGAAACATTCATTAAGACATTTGAAATCTTGACGTCCAGCAATTCGATGATTAATTCTCCACAGATTCAGATCAGTGAAAGCCTCTTGAAGCAAATATTTTTGAACAGAACTTTCCGCCTTTTCGAACTGCGATATCTCATGGAGGTTTGTTCGAGTGAACACTGACTCGACGAAGCGCTTTAGACGTTGCAATCGTTCTTTCTGTTGTGCTTCAAGTTTCCTGAAAACATGCGCGACGTTTGAAAATCGTACAGTTTATTCATTCCTCTGTTTCCGCTTACGTTTGAAAATGAAGTTTCCAGACAAACCAGATCGTCCGGACAATTTTCGTGTCTGAGTAATTTTGAATAACGAAGAGCGATTGACGTCGCAATTGTTTTTTTGCCGATTCAAGTGCCCATTGACGCAACGCGAGCTGTTTGTATCTGAAAATCAAAATGCAAAGTAACCAGTAGAGAGATATCAGAGCACATACCTACTACTCCACTGAATAGCTTTGAACATCAGTGGCATCCTATTTTTCAAATTCACGGATTGCAGCAACTCACTTGTTCCGTAATGTTTGTTGATGTTGGGATTCAACAACACCAATAATAAGAGACTCCAGGCCCCGTTTTTTCTCGCTTTTCAAATACTTCTCTTGTGCAGATGCTGCAGTTTGGATGAGAAACGTTTCCTAAGAGCAAATTAATTGTTTGAACTGCCACTCAGTTTGTTTTCCTTCTCACTTTCAGCCAGATAGTGAAAAATGCCTTCACGACGCCAAAGCGAGAGATGCGAAGAAATCGATTGTACCGCGTTTTCAATCTCCACCAGGCAAATCCAAGCCCTAGTGTCGAGAGGACGACTGATTGACGACCAGCTGCAGTCATGGTTTCTCTGAAGCAACCACGATGCAGAACGTCGAAGTGTCAGACAACTCACCGTCGAATACTGTTATATGTTGCTTGTGAGATCCACCGCGAGAAACTTCTGCTCAAGGATCGCGCCTGGAAGCGAAAACAGTGTTCTGCATCAGCGCTCTTCTGCTCTTACATCGCAACGCATCGCAACGGCCTTGATGCTCATCAGCTCTGTTTGGCTTTTTCTTGTTTGTGCTTTCCAGAACTGAAGAGCTTTGCACTTTCTCCATTGACCGTACTTTTTGCATCTAACGTTTAACTTCCACTGGATCAAAGCTTCACGTTCCAGCTTCAATTGGGACATATGAATGATTTGGACAAGACATCGACTCGCAGCTCTGTGAGCACCAACAGTCTTCCATTCATCCCAAACCTCTTCAATCATAACAAGATTGTGTTGTTGCTCTATCAGCTCTTTCCAATGAGCGACATCTCCAGCAAATTTCCATAATTTCACTGCATCGCGTTTAGATTTCAGACGCTGCTGCTCGTTGAATTCGACCCCTCTTAGCTTTAGCTGCCTTTCTCGTGTCGCTAAGCGAAACCAAAACAAGAAAACTGGTTTCCCGATTGCGTTCATATCACTCGGTCGTAACATCTGAGAGAGTTTTTCTCCCTTATTCTGGATAACGAGTCGATTCCTGGTCGCTCCAAAACTCCAGAGAGCCCACGCGCGGACCAATCGGTGTTTCTTGACAATCTCGATGCAAGCCAAACACAATTGACGATTCTTCAGCTGAATTTCCTTTAGAGAATCAGACCATATGCGTAGAGCTCGCTCAGCAACAGCTTTCTGGATTCTCCACGTCAATGAAAACTGTTTCCGCCGTGTTTCGAATTGTTGGTTCTTTCGCGTTCGATAAAAACGACGCCATTTTGCGAGCGCGTTTCGAACATTCAGAGTTGCAAAGAGAAGTGCGCTCAGATGATTGACAGTCTGAGGCTTCAACGATGAAGATTCTAGGGATTGGGACTCCGAGTTTTGAACCAAATCAGACAACGCGTGAGACACTGCATAAGGTGGCAATTTGAGCTTCTTCTTATGCGGATCTTTATCGTGAGATTTTCCAATGGATTTTCCCAGACCTGTTGAGTTCTCATCGGTTTCAATTTCTGTTCCATTTTTCTTCCTCCGAGAACGTTTTCCTTTCAGTTTTCGAGTCGATTGCTGATCTGAAACACTAGCGGGATTTCGATGTTTTTCTGAAGCAAGCTGCCAACACATTAGAGGCAACTTCACTGTTGCTCCCCAACCAGCCGGAGAATTTTGGACTTCTGAGTCGCTAACGTGGTCTGATGACATCTGAGCTTCACCGGCTGCCCAGAGCTCCATCGTTAGATTTCCTTCTTTGATTTCGGTGTTTAGTTTCAAAATGCGAAAATCATCAGGAGTTGATTTAAGTAAATTGATGAGAAGGGAAAGACGAAGACGCAGAAGCAATTCATGAGATCCCGAATTCACCCAGAAGTGAAAATACCGACGTGTGCGAGAACGATCGAGCAAATCGCGCGCTTGATCTGAAAAAAACATTCAAGTGCCAAAATTGACAAAAACGACTTGAGATGGAAATGGCAAAATGTTTGGAATGGGAATGACGGGCCTGACGCTCACCTGCCTCCAGCCTCTCAGCTTGCTTTCTTAGGATAAATTCCTTCCAGTCCGCTAGACCGCGTTTAATTAACGTTCCAGTGTTATTTGCAATTTTATCATTCAACTCTTTCAAACTCCTCTCGTGATTTGTGATTCGATTGTACATCAATTTGATAACTTCCCACATCTCTCGTACAAGCCGCTGATCTTCAATTGTCTTGCAGTGATTGCCGCGCCGTGAAACTGATGCTCCAAATTTCCAGAGAAGAAGAGCTTGAGAAACTTGACGCTCTCTCAACTTCATGGTTGAGACTTCTAGAGTTTGCTACGAAGATCAAAACACCAATTATTCTTCTCCAGTTGCTCGTCGTAACAAGATTCTTTACCGCAGAGAGTCACACCAATTGCCACACTCACCTCATAATGCGATTCAATAATTGAATTTGTTCTCCATCGCTGAATTACTCCATGAACGACTCGAATCTCCATGGAAGTGAAAACACGTGAAAGTGCCGATCGTCTCAGAACGACGAGTCCCCTTAAAGTTCTCCACAGGGAAAGTGAGTCGCAGAGCAAACGAAACTGGAGCGACTCTTGCAAGGATCGCCCCTGCTTCAACATCTGCGCCGAGAAGCGCCTGGAAAATGAGGGAATTCCTGACCAGTTTGTTTCATGCGAATGAAGTTCTATCAGTCACTCACCATTGGACAAGCGTCAGCTGTACCGATTGTGAAACGCGCAATGCCGCATAATGGCGAACTGAAGCGAATAGCCTGCAAGAGAATTCTGTCAAAGTTGAGTCTATGGAGCACTGTAGCAGACCGCCTCTCGATTTCAGTCTCATGGAGCCACTCGGTGAGGAATCGCCTTAACAAACGTTTCTGCTGAACACTTTCCAACATCTGGATTCTCAAAGCATCTCGCGTCTTTAAGAGATGATTGACATCCCATTGATGCCAAGCACGCGCAAGAAGACGACGGTGATGATTTTGCATCAGAGAAGACGAAGCAGCAGAGAAGGCAGAGATTGACTTCCATTGTAGCAACAATTGTTGAATCTTAAGTTGAATAGAGTGATGGATTCGGGCTTTGTGGATCTTGCTGCTGGAGAGTGATTGAGAACGAGACTTCCAAAACTGCAAACCATCCGATAAACGTGCTTGACGTCGACAAGCCTGCGCCTGCAATACAATGATCGAGTCTTCGATGGAGTCAAGAGCGATCGGTAGCTTGAGCTCCACACCATTGCGAAAAATGGCATTTGGAAGGCTTGGATTCGTTCTCTTTTTCGCCAGTTGGTTCAGCAGAGGGAGTTCATTGTGACACGTTTGCCAGAGTATTGAACGTGCATTCAGCTGGCGACGAGAGTCGGTTGATTCCTTCATAGCGTGAATTGTGGCAAGACGCGCTTTCTGATATTCACTGTTTCTGAAATCGAGAAGCCGCTCTTTGATTTTGCGTTGTTGTGATAATTCTGGCACCACTGCCTGCCACTGTTGTATACATCGAATTAAATGAAAAACATCCAGCGAATGATGAGCATGTGAAATTTCCTGAAAACAAGAGACAGAGGAGTTCCATAAACAAGCACACTAAGGATTTCACCAGCCATAAGAGAGCAGCCAGAAATCGGAATATTCACAACATTTGTAACACAATGAGACAAAGACGACCTGCTCCAACTTCTCATTGATCGCAACCCAATATCGGAAATGAGAGCGTAACTGGATCATTTCCAAAATTTCACTGATGGCTCTTAGCTGGCGATTCCGACGTGATAGATTAATCCATCCCGTCAGTGAAGTTAACAGTATCGAACTACAAAGAAGGAAAACATCTCTAAAATCCGAAGGCTGAGTTTTTTTTGTTCTTACCAGTCCCGTCGATTTTCAATCTTCAGCGAGTTCGTTCTCTTGACTACTTTGTCGTCTTTATGCGTCTTCCAGCACAACAAGATGCTTCTGAGACGCTCGACATTATAAGACTTTTTCTACAATACAATGTTCATTTTTTCCTTCATTTTTTGAAACTCACACATCGAACAAAAATCTTCTTCATTTCCACTCTGTTCAACCACTCGTGCAAGCAGTAAACAACCATCCGATTTTGACGTCCTTCAATCACTTCCAACTCTTTTTGCCGAAGCATTCGTTGGTGTGACGAGAAGCTGTGCCATCGCCGCATACCGCTCACAACTATCAAATGAGTTGCGACAACACATGATGCTCGGTTTTCAACATTCTGTCTGCAGTACACACTGAGTGGACAACACGCTTTAACAAAAGACAACCCACAGATAAGAATCGCGCCAAAATTTGAACCCCCAAGACAACAGCCGTTTCGATTCGAATAGAAGCGAAACCTCGTCTAAAATTTTCTTACGACTTCGATCAGCCCAAAGCTCTCGCCACCCACGAAACGCTCGCCCTAACAAATGAACACGCTGTCCAGCCCTTAAAAGAGGAAGAAAAGCGACTTGAAGAGGTTGGAGCCACTGCAACTCACCTGATGAGCTTTCTGGTTCCAAGACGGACACTAGCGATTGTCTTCCACTGAATTAGAGTTCTGTGTTTCTCTGCGATTGCCATCTGGTCTGCAAGTCTCTCAGCCTTCCTCAATAGATTTTGAGAGTCTGACCATTGAAATCTCCATATCATCCAGCAGTGACGAAGACGGCGACCCCAAAGAAGTGTTCCTAATGCAACAACAACACGGGCTGTTGCCATGCGGCGTCGTCGTTGGTTTGTGCAAGAAATATACAGGGAGGCAAGAGCTGCGCGTCGCTGATGGGTCATGATCCGTTCTCTCAATTGACGCTTCAGTGAAGCAGTTTCATGCCAACGCAATAGCGCCACTTTACAAACAGACTGAAATAGAGAGCGATACAATGTTTTAGATCGTCCCTTACAACTCCGATCATGGCTGAGAGTTCTGATCGTCGGGCCCATACTCTTCCTCGATGAAGTTTCCAGGAAACACGAAGAAACTGAAGAGCTCGGAAAAGCTTAGGAATGTTCCCCGAGATTTTGAGTCGATGCAATTCAGCGACAACATCGAAAAACGTGGTTTCTCTTGGAGTGGAATGAACAGGCTGCCGTGTCAACTTTGACGCCAATGTGAGAACTGTAACGCAATCATCTTCTTCATTTTCTGTGCTTGTTGTTGATAATGCGCTTCGTTGTCGAGCGGGACTCTTTGGTGCGAGTCCAGCAACAACGTTGAGGAGTCCCAGAACCCCCTTAGCCGCCGAGAGACTCACTTTGCGCCGTGCCTGGGGAAATTCAATCGTGCAATCAGGGGCGGGGATTTGGTGAAAATTCGCCAGAAGAAGCGTGATGTTATCAACATGCGTGGCAGAGCTTTCATCGAAGTAAACAGAAGACAGGGTTCGTTGATGTAACGTGTGGAACGATTGAATAACACTGAAACCAAATCATGAGAGAGAAAGAATCTGGAGCGTCTTGGCGACTCACATTGAACGTGGAACTAAAGATTTTTGTTGGAGTTTTCTGAACTGGACTTCAGTTTTCCAGAATTCTATGCATTTCTTGATCTCAATCTCAATTAAAACGGCTTCCGCTGCTACGATGAGACGCTGACGTTTATGCCGGTGAGTCAATGCAGACAACTCCCATTGCTTGAGTGATTGGCGAATCAATCGCAATGTTGTTGCCGCAGCAAGTAGATTTCCACGATCGTCAATGTTTGGAAGGAACATCTTAAATTGAGCGTGTAACTCATCAGGTACGGCTCAGTCAAGCCATTATGAACCAATTCCATCAAACAAAAATCCACAAAGAAAAGAGACAATCCGGACGTTGAGGCTGTTCCCAATCAACATCATTTTTGGTCTCTCTTGTTGCATATTGGGGGGAAAAGTGAACCACGTAGGAAAGCAATGAAGCCTCAGCATTTCGTTCGCTGAAAAAAGACGAACTGAAGCGTTGGCTGCAGTAATATAATCCTTTACTTCTCTTAATGGAGTGTCTGTTGATGTCTTCCAATCAAGAGCTGCTTCATTCAACAGTAACACACTTCCTGTTTTGGCGAGATATTTTCCGTAGGCTTTTGTAAAACAACAAGTATGTTTATCACTCGCTCGAACAAGATCTATGGATCCCCAATTCTTCACTTTCCTTTCTAAGGATAAAATTAATTGTTGCATTATTTCCTCATCCTCTTCTCTGTCTGCTATCGGGGGGATGTTTTTATCAAGGAAGCGGGAAATTGGATCAATCGGGCAACACCAATTGAGGTCACCGTCAAATCCAGGAATATATCTAATAATATTTGCTGCAGGCGTGTCATTGACTCCCTGACTCCAAACAGCAGTAAGGCATTCATCTTCATCGAATCGACGGGCGCATAGAAAATAGCGGAGGCGGAAGTTTGGGACACCGAAATGGATTGGGGTGAGCAGAAATTCCCTCACTTGGTATCCCGTTGCTGAGAGAGTCTTCACAGTTGCGTCCCGCATGTCGCTCGATTCAAATCCGTGAACGTTTTCTAGAAGAATGCATCTCGGACGAAATTCTTCAGGCAACTCTTCAATAATATTTAACAAATACGAAAGGCTGTTCGATCGAATATCTTTACTTTCTTTTTTTAATCCCTGTCTCGTATAAGGTTGACAAGGAGGGCTAAGCATCCAAACATCAACATTTAGATCGATCCAAAACTGAAGGGATTGAGCTGTAACGTTTCTGGAACTTGGAGTAACAGTAGGAAAATTATACTTGTAGACTTCTCTCGCTCTTTCGCTGAAGTCCATCGCTAGGGTGACTTCGCATCCAATTTGTCGTCCTGCTTCCCTTTGACTCTCCTCCCATAACTTTAAGCCACAGTGCATCCCACCAATACCAGAAAAAAGTTCTGCCACTTTCAACACCTTCATTTGCTGGCACAGTGTTAGGGGGCCTCAACATTTGAAAACAAATTCCTCGGATGCGAGGCCAAAAAAAAAACCAATTGCGTCGAAAAAAGAAGGAAACAAACTTCCTGTCAAAAAACAGCGCAATCAAGTTGGCCTGTGTGGCTTGATCTTGCGATAACTTGGTGGCATTACAGAAGAGTTGAAGCGAACATACTGAAGGAAAAAGGCGAACATGGGAAATCCAGAATTTCCGTCACTAGTTACTTGACTATATAGATATATTGGATGAACTGCTTACAACAAAGGCCACATCATCATTCCACTTCATGCCCGATTCCTCTTGAGTTTGAAGCGTCTGTGACAATATTTCTTGAGCACCTTTATTCAAATTTGGGGGACTTTGCCATAGTATTATTTATCAACCTGTACATGCGACTAAAAGCTTCCGTATCGACAGCCTCAGAAAAGGCTTCATGCGCTTTGTCGTAAGCAGCATAGAAAGCATTTGGAGATCTACCCCATTCAATGAACCTTCTGTAAGGATCGTCAAGACACATGCGGGAAGGATCTTCGACGCCTTCTGGTGTAATTGGACAAGATTCCACACGTGTCTTATACACCTCTTCTCCTGCTTTACTTCCATGAATGTTAGTGAATCCATCAGATGTTAATGCAATGAAATCAATTGTTGGATCTGTTAGATCGAGAATACGAATCTCTGGATCTCCACGAACAAATGCAGCTGAATCGATGTATGGGCCTCGACCACCATCTCCCATTGATCTCGCTGGCTGCGGAAACAAAATGGCTCTTGAACAACTTCAACCATTAGAAAGGAAAAACTTACTTGAAGTCCACCCACTCTGAAATCTTCATAGATGCCTTCTTGATTTCTGGACACGCTGTATCGAAGCTCAGCGTATCCAGGAAGTTGACCTGAAAGACAACAGTCGTATAATAACACTCGTCTAATAACGCTCTTATGATAACAGTTTAATGATTGCATTGGCTGATCACTCCAATCCTGTCGATGACTGACCTGGTTCAACCGGACGTCCATAAATTGATGGTGTTTTTGAAGCTTTTGCAATCCTTGTCGCTGTTTCCGTTTCGCTAAGACCCTGCTGAGTCGAATCCTTCCCTTCAGATCCACTCGCTCTATGAGATTCTGAATCGCGGGATTTGTCTTCAGAAAAAATTCCCTCGTCAGCAATCCAATCGTCGTCGTCAAATTCTGGAACTGCAGGAGCGAGCTGCCAGTGAACAACGATCTTCCCGTTTTGGGACAATTTGCGAGGCTCAATTCCTGCAAAATACCGCTGCATTGCTTCACGTATTCTCCTCTGTTCTACAGGATTGTTGCTTCCATGGTCTGCAGAAATTAATTCAAGAGTTTTTGTTTTTGTATTTCCTTTAAATGCTAATGAGTCTCCAACACTGGCGGTATAAAGCTTCTGTTCTTTCACATCCCATATCAAGAGGGTCATCGTTGTGCCTGACAGGAAGGTAACGTCAAGTGAATCTGTCTGATGCTCGCTCACCCATGAAATCCTGGGCGAAAGACATTAATGCTTCATTGACGCTTCTATAGATTTCACTTATTGCATCTTTGATTGCGCGTTCAATTGCGCGATGCAAATCTTGTTGAACCGCTAAACGACGCAATTGAAATGCACCCCTTTTTGATGAGTTCAGTATAATTTGAAAGATGGATATCCGCTTGTTTCTGAATTGTTTCAATTGCAATTTTTGACGCCACCTGTCCATAACTGCCGTGACCATCGCAAATCGAAAACACTCCAATTGAAGGAAGGGTCACTGTCCGTCCCTTTCTATCGGGTACAATGTCAGTATATAACCGAATTAAAAAGTTGTCCTGATTGGGATATCCACGACGATTGGTAGCTGTAGCCAAACCAATCTCCCATCCAAGACGGCTCGCATATTCTAATCCTTGATCCAAACTACTTGGAAGACGAAGAACGTTCTCTACTATCACTTCCTTGGGATTGTCTTGCCCTTCTTGATCCGCTGGACTCTTTGAGTTTCCTTGAATTGATAAAATCGAATCAAAGTGATCTGGCGGCGTGTCGGAGAAAACTCTAAATGGACTTGCAAAGGGAATATCTGCAACAGACGAATCAAACTTGGATAGAAGTGCAACACAAAAAAACCCAAATTTGGAAGGAAACTAAAGCAGTCATCTTATTCTTAAGAGAAACCTATTTTTTTTCAGATTGAACCACTTTGACGCATGCTGGCCAGGTTGTAGTGTGGTCCGTGAGAAAATGGCGTGCTTGTAGTGGCCCGTGCTCCATGAGCACGGCCAGACAATCTTCACAACGACAAGGTTCCCATCTGTCCTTTTTTCCCTTTCATGAGTCACGAGGCACAAAGCGATTGTCTCACAAGAACAACAAAAACTATTTAGAAGAACATCTGTTACTCAACAAACCCCCCGTCTCTATGCAAAACCTATTTGGTTTGAAAAATGAAAAATCTAAGTATTTTGTCTTATTCGGCTGAATTGCCTTCTTCACCTGCCCCGTTTAAGAAAAATGAATCCAGAGTACTCTGTCCTCTTCAAGGTGCTTTGTCCTCTTCGCTCCTTCCTTCCCTTTTGCCGCAGAAACCGACTTTACCTTTCCTGGTGAATCCTTGGCAAGGAAAGCCTTCTCAAATTTAGCTGCGTCGTTGTCAGAAATTTTAAACCACAAGGAAGACGCCTTCCACGCACAGTAGATGCACGCATCAGATGGAGCGAATTTCGACAGCTTTGAGGCCCCAACGTGACGCAACTCTCGCAAAAAACCGTCAGGGTCCATCGTAAGTTGTTTTGTAGCAGCAAGAGCATCTGCAAACGAGTTGGACGTGCTTCTCATGTTTTCTCCTTCCGCCATCTCTATTTCGTCGTCGTTCATCGAGATCATCTTCATCAAGACCATCATAAACAGCTTTTCCGATGCTATAAACGGCAAACAATGAGCGAAGTATTTCAAAATATTTTGTCATAGTCGGTTGTAGATATAAGGAAATTTCGACATTTCTGACGATCGTTTACCTTTGGTTTTCGTATCTTTTGTTGTCAACTTCGCTACACAACGGTTTGAGGGCTTTAGTCGAGGTGGAAAGACGATGCAATTTGAGCTGAGCGTTTTTTGTTCCTTTCGTGGCAGTTCTGCAGAATTGAAATCACTGCAATAAAAGATTGAAGGGTCCATACCTAACAAGAACATCGCCACGTCGTATTAACAGTTCAGCGTATTTGTGAGCTTTGATGTCGATAGGCGAACCAAGTAGCTCCCAATTTGATTTTCCAGCGATTGATCGAACAGCTAGAACAACATCCGCGTGTCCATTCGCAAAATCTTCAACAATTTGTCCTGATCGTCAACGAGGATCAGATTGTCCAAGAGTGAGTGACTTGCTTACCGCAAATTCTGCTATTCAAATCTTTGGCTTGAGAAAACCATAACAAACTCTTATTGACAGGATCGTAGCTGTCTTCATACTTCACTCCCCGTGTAGCAGCGCCATGAGCTTCACGAAGAACCCTGATAATTCATCAGCATATAGACTGCCCCATCAATATTTTCATATAGACTCCCACATCCCATCAATATTTTCATATAGACTCCCACATCAATATTTTCATATAGACCGCCCCATCAATATTTTCATATAGACTCCCACATCCCATCAATATTTTCATATAGACTCCCACATCAATATTTTCATATAGACTGCCCCATCAATATTTTCATATAGACTCCCACATCCCATCAATATTTTCATATAGACTCCCACATCAATATTTTCATATAGACTGCCCCATCAATATTTTCATATAGACACATCCCATCAATATTTTCATATAGACTCCCACATCAATATTTTCATATAGACTGCCCCATCAATATTTTCATATAGACTCCCACATCAATATTTTCATATAGACTGCCCCATCAATATTTTCATATAGACTGCCCCATCAATATTTTCATATAGACTCCCACATCAATATTTTCATATAGACTGCCCCATCAATATTTTCATATAGACTCCCACATCCCATCAATATTTTCATATAGACTCCCACATCAATATTTTCATATAGACTGCCCCATCAATATTTTCATATAGACTCCCACATCCCATCAATATTTTCATATAGACTCCCACATCAATATTTTCATATAGACTGCCCCATCAATATTTTCATATAGACTCCCACATCCCATCATTTCATATAGACTCCCACATCAATATTTTAATATAGACTCCCACATCAATATTTTCATATAGACTGCCCCATCAATATTTTCATATAGACTCCCACATCAATATTTTCATATAGACTCCCCCAACCGAAGCGACACGGTTTTAACGGTGAAGACAAATAAAACAAGAGCGTTTCTATTTGATGTAATGGGATCCTCACTTGGTTTGTTCATCGTCCACGAGTGTTTTCCGATCAACTTTTTCGTCCTTTACAGCAACGGAAACATTTTGCATCGCTTTCTCTATCAATGCTTGCTGAGCGTCTTCAAGAAACGGAACTTCTGTCTCAGTATTCGAGATTTTCTCCTCCGTCAATACATCTTTTTTCGGTCGTATTTTTTTCGATATTTTAACACTTTTACTTAAACGACTCTTTTTATCGTCAGATTCTTCGTTTTCGTCGAGCACGTCGCTCACATCCCCATCTTCATTACTTTTACTGCTTGTTGGAGTTGGAGGATCAGATTCGTCCGATGAACTCGAAGAATCAGATTTTCCCGAATCTGAAACATTTCTTTAACACAAACTTTTCCATGAAGACTCACCGCAGTATTCGCTGTGACTTTCCGCGTCATCCTTATTTTTCAAACCTTCATCTTTATTTTTCAAACGGTCTTCTGTTTGTTTCTTGCTTTTTGACGGGAATGGTTTACTTTTCGTTGCAACGGATCGTCGACGACACTTGCGCAACGGTCGACCCTGAACAGCACTGAAGCATCACCGGATTGATTCAACCAGCTTACATTGGGTCCGAGTTGAACGGCACTTTCCTCGTCATCGGATGATTTCGAGGACTCAGATTCCTCCTCTACTGCTTGTTCATCTCGTTTTCTTTTTTCTCACGACTGTCGTTCCTGTTTTCGATCCTCTTCTCGCCATACACAAAAGCCATAACAAGCGTTCCGTATCTGGCTGAATTGACTCGCTTCCATCTTTCCAGAGTCGAATGTGATTCTCTCTACTCGACTCTGAATACACTCGAATAGCCACTCGAATGATTCCATGACCGTAGTAACCTGAAATTGTAACGTCCAACCACCAGAACGACTCTACGGAACGAACCATAACTGAATTCCATGTCAACGAAATCTTTAGGATCCTTGATGTAAAGATTCTTGACGACACTAAAGAGAAAACAACAAACAATCACCATCGACTGTAAATAAGCAAAAATGCATGTAGTCTCACGTGTGCATCAATTGTTGTTGATGATGATAAATCGATTTTTTCATCACTCGTTTGGTTCTTCCTGATAACTCTCTCACTGCTGGACGACTTTCACTAAAATCATAGAGCGACTTGACTGGCACTTTGTTGAGCGCTCTAAAAAGGAGTGAAAGGTCATAAAGTCACACGGAAGCAGGTGATAAAGTAACAAGCTGGAAAACTCACATCCGATTCTTCCTCGCAACGATCATTTGAACCTCCGTTGGCTGGTCACCGTCATCGTCACTGCTGTCTTCGTCATCGCTGTTCTTTTTTGTCCTTCGAGACTGTTTGGGAGCCTATCAATGATAATGACAATGATGATGATAATGATGATAATAATGATGATAATGTTTATAATGATGATAATGATAATTCCAAGATGGTGATGAGTCTCTTACACCACTGTTGATGATCGCTTACCCGAACATCCAGATCATCATCTTCACTCTCATTATTGATTTGGGTCGCATCGATAGAATCAACTTCCTCACTTCTTATCATGGTTGACTCAGTCGGACAAGATCCCTCATCCACCAATTCTTTCTTGGGTTCTTCAGTCGTTTGATTTTCATCGTTTTCTGGCGTGTACGTTTCCTCTTTCGATGTTTTTCGGGATTTTGTATTCCGCTCTCCCTCTTCGCCAATCGATGCTCTCTTTCTCTTTGGGGCCATTGTCGAGTCTGAATTACTGGATGTGTTCTGCTTACAAGGACAACCAAAAATTTTGCACCACGAACAAGTAAGAAGCGATGCGGTTTGAGAAAAATTAGGGGAGGTAAGAAGATTCGAGCAAAAACACACAAAAAATTGAGAAATCAAAACAAAGATCTTGCCGTCTTTTCGATGTTGCTAGCAGTAAAACCAAATTTGTTCCAAAGGACGTTTTTTGGACCAGAAGCACCAAAAGTTTGCATTCCAATTGAAGTGGTGAAGAAGCGCTCACAACCCAACGTGTTTGCAGCTTCAACGTAGACTGATTTGACATTTTGAGGAAGAACAGAACGTTGATATTCTTCCGGCTGGCCTAAGAACAAGTCCCACGAAGGCATTGAAACCACACGGACATCGTAATCAGAGCGCAACGCTTTTGCAGCTTGAACGCATAAATGGAGTTCTGAACCACAGCCACCCAACAGACACTTTGGCTTTCCGTTATCAGCAAAATCCTCCAACACGTATGCTCCCTTCATTGCTCCCTCGACTGACGAACCCTGCAGCTGTGGCACAGCACCTCGGCAGAGTGCCATCACGGTCGGTGTTTCTTGATGCGTCAGCCAAACAGCGTAACCTGCAGATGTTTCGCTCCCATCAGCAGGGCGGTAGTAAATCATGTTGGGAGTTGCACGGCAAAGAGCAGCTACTTCAATGGGTTGATGTGTTGGACCGTCTTCACCAAGCTCAATCGAATCATGAGTTGCAACGTAGAGGATACCGAACCTGAAGGAAAAGATCATTGGACTTATCATGTTGATAGTTTTATCAAAAGAAGGACCATCACTGGTTTCATCAATGGATCTCCATAGGAAAGATTCAGAGACGTACCGTGAGAGTGCGCTTAAACGAACAGCACCCCATGCGTAAGTAACGAAATTCAAAAAAGTCGCACCGAAGGAACGGAAACCTCCGAAAGCAAAAATTCCATTGCAAATTGCGGCCATTCCATGTTCACGAACACCAAAATGAAGATAGCGACCCCGACGATTATTGGCTTGAAACGCAGTTTCAGTCTTCAACCCAGTGCAGTTTGAACCAGTCAAATCTGCTGAACCTCCCATGACACTTGGAACCGCACTAACTACAGCATTCAGGACACTTCCAGAAAGAGCTCGGGTTGAGTCTGCTTTTGATTCCGGAGTGTATTTGGGAAGACAATCCATCCATCCCTTAGGAAGAGTTCCATTAATGCGATCCAGTAATTCTGCATGTTCTGCTGGATATTTTGTTCCATAAATTGTCAGAAGGCTTTCCCATTCAGAACACAGTTGATCTCCACTTTGACCCTTTCTTCTATAAAAATCCAAAACTTCCGCGGGAATCTGGAACATGTCGTCCGAAGGGAGACCGAATTTTTCACGCAGCTGCTTCAAATCCTCCGCGCCAAGTGGACTGCCATGAACCTTCTCGGTCCCTTCTTTCTTTGATCCAAATCCAATTGTTGTATTGCAAATAATCAAACTTGGCTGGCTTGAATTCTTCTTTGCGGTCTCAATGGCGTAAAGCATTCCGTCCACATCCGAATCGCCATCAGCAACATGCAGAACTTGAAAACCATAACTTTGGAAACGCATCGCAACATCTTCAGTGAAAGAGAGATCTGTGTCCCCATCTATAGAAATTCCGTTCTTGTCATAGAAAACAATCAAGCGTCCGAGTTTCAAATGTCCAGCAAGTGAACACGCTTCAGAAGCAACTCCTTCTTGAAGGCATCCATCCCCAACAATCGTGTAAATGAAACTGTCAAAGAGTGTGACATCAGGTTTGTTGTATCGTGCTGCAACAGATTCAGCAGCAATTGCAAGTCCAACAGCCTGCGCAACTCCTTGGCCAAGTGGGCCTGTTGTAACTTCAATACCAGGTGTGCTGTGGTTCTCAGGATGACCTGGGCACCTAAATCAAGACAAGTGATGGCAAGGCTGATTTCTGATCTCTTCGTACTTCTCATCAACTTGACGGAACTTCTTCAAATCTTCCAGAGAGACTTTGTATCCCATAAGATGCAGCATCGTGTAGTGAAGTGCACATCCATGACCGTTTGAAAGAACAAATCGATCACGAGCAATCCAATTGGGATTTTTGGGAGAAGCTTTCATAACGTGACCGAACAAGCAGTGAGCCATTGGTGCACAGCCCATGGGAGCCCCTGAAAATGAAAGGAAATAGAGTTTATGATGAAGTTGCAATACTCGCTTACCGGGATGGCCAGATTTTGCAGCTTCTGGAA